GTTGAATCAGGAGCAATCCAAGTTTGAATCAAAGGTAGAAATGTATTTGCAGTCCGATCCTCTACCCTTGTCAAATACCCTTTTTTCGTAGAAATTCAAAATTTTTTTTTTAAACATTAAATAAATCTGTGCTGTATTTAGAGTATTTTTCTAGTAATTGCTTCAACTTTTTTTCGATATAAAAATATACTATGACTCAAAGTAAATATAATAATTACATACACTTCATTATATTACTACATATAAAGTTAGTAGGCAGTTATAACTCAATTTTTATATGAGAAGTTGTTGTTTTTAGTAGTTATTTGTTTTTATTTTATCTCTTCAAGCAAATGTATACAGCTATGATATTATTCATCAACCATTCTTGCTGAATATATAGAAACAAAAATATAAATATACTTTAATATTTATTTATATATATATATATATATATATATATATATATATATATATATTTATATATATATTTATATGTATATATATATATATATATATATATATATATATATATATATATATATATATATATTTATATATGTATATTTATTTATATAAATATATACATAAAAGTGAAACTAAACTGTGAAAATATATATATATATATATATATATATATATATATATATATATATATATATATATATATATTTATATATATATATATATATATATATATATATATATATATATATATATATATATATATATATATATATATATATATATATATATATATAGAGAGAGAGAGAGAGAGAGAGAGAGAGAGAGTGTGAGAGAGAGAGAGATAAATACATACATATATATAACCAAAATATGCAGATGTTTATTAATTTATAATAAATTATTTTATTTAGATACCTCTATTATGATTTTCATTGTATATACTGTGGTTAAGTGTCAATAGATTCAAAAAATAATAGACTTTTAATGTTGATTGATTTTTGATTCCTTGACACATAAATTTGAAGTTGGTGCAAATATTTTGAAAAATATAGAAATAAATTATGTATATGATTCCGTCAACCTTTTTTGACAACAAAGCTCAATAGTCTACAAAGAAAAACAGCTTTATGTTATTGGTGAGTAAATTTCTAAACTTATCTTATGTTTAAAAATCTTATGTTTTGTATTTTATGTATTACTCTGAGGTGCCAAATAAACGGGATGGGGTCATTATTAAAGAAATGTTTAGGATTAATTTTTATAACAATAAAAATTAATCCTAAAAATAATACACAATACTTAAACAGTCTCTAATATATATATACATATATATATATATATATATATATATATATATATATATATATATATATATATATATATATATATATATATATATATATATATATATATATATGTATATATATATATATATATATATATATATATATATATATATATATATATATATATATATATATATATATAAATCTCTTTATTTTTTTCCCAATAAGTTCTAAATATAAAATAAATATTTCTTTTTTACAATTATTTACATTTTCTTTTTTATTTTATTTACAAAACTACCATTTAAATATTTTTTTAGTAAATAAAGTTTCATAATAAATAAAGTTTATTTCTTTTTCCTTTTTTTTATTGCTGGTGTCAAAATTCTATTTTGACAATTTGTTTTTAGATTATGGGCTTTAAGGATACATTTTAATCGTTTTGTACGACAAGGAATAGATTGATATATCATACTTAATTTGTTAAACTCGTGATGAATCGATTCACCTCCTTGTTCACCGTACAAACCAAACCCAGCACCCCATTTTTGTAAAAATGGAATAGCGTGATCTTCCATCATGTGTAATTTGGGCGTGACTGAAGCTTCTGGCCAATTGACTCGATAAAATTTCATAAAATCAGAAATATATGTCTCTAAAGATAAAAAAAACTTTTATAAAGAGAGCATGTAATCCTATTCATTTTATCTTACTATAAATTATCTTGCTAGATATGTTTGCTTATTTAACAAGATTATTTAGTCAAAGTATTAGTTTTAGTCAGTATGGGTCATACAGACCAGTATGGGTCATATATCAGTTAGTATGGGTCAAGCATGTTTTTTTTTTAAATGTGTTTTTTGCTTCCACAACCTCCTCTGCCCTTTAGCTATCACAGCCTATCATGGTTGCGCTGTACATTTTTTTTTTGACAAAATTAAAATGGTGAACATACCGAGTTGTGTTAATTCACTGGTACTTATATTTTTTGAGGAGAATATGTGATAACAGTTAGAAAACTTATAGAAAAGCTGTTTATATTTGTTGCAGACTTCAATTGATTTTTCATGAAGAGTAGTTCCAGAAAATCCTTTTTTATGAACAAGTATAGGAACAGAATTGCATAGCTCTAATATGGATTCTTCCTATAAATTAACAAATAATACATTTAATAAATAAGCAATTAATACATAGTAATATTATAAATAAGCAAATATTACATTTTTATTGTTTTTATTAGATTTAATATTTTATTTTATTGTTATATTAGATTTTATAAATAAAATAAATCCCTACTTTGAGCATTTTATGTACATGGTTACCAATAAAACTTTTCCCATGATATGCTTGTCGCTGAACATTAAGTTTTTGTAATATCACTTCTATCTGTTGAGTGCATGGTCCCTCACTTTTCTGAAATGCTGAGCTTTTTTCCAAAGCTTTTAACTCTTGTATCTACACAATTGTTGTTGTTTTTTAACAGATTTTAATATTAGTATAATTTAAATAAGAGATTTAACATGATTTTAGTTTTAGCATGATTTAAATTTGAGTCTAGAGTACTAAACTGACAGCTACCATAGCTACCATTATCTGTGTTCAGTAAGCTACTGATTTGATGTTTTTTTTGTACTTTGGCTGCAGCATTTTATTTTTTGAACTTTTAAATTTGCAGTAGCTAAAACATTGCAAATCATTTGTGTTTTATTATTGTAAATACTCATAAAACAGCTGCATTGATACTTAAAACTAATTTTTGATAGTTTTCATAAAATCAAACCGAACCTTATCCCAAACCTTAGATCTAACCAAACAGAACCCAAACTTTTCGGCTTTGGTTAGATCTAAAGTTTTTCTGAACAAAAGATTCAATTCCTATCTCTAATTTAAATAATAATGTGCTTAGAATAAATAATAGTTAAAATTATATAATTTATGTTTATTAGTTATTAATTTTAAAGATATCCTTACCTTTTCCATATGTGCTCTGTTTAGAGAACCAAGTTGAGGGATGTATATTGACTGAACATTTTCTGCATTTTCAGGATTATTTAATACAGCTGCAGCTACAGCATCATTTACTAGCTCAATTTGATCGTCAAGATTAGCGATACAGATTTCAAGATCTGATATATGTTGTTGTTTTAAAATAAAGTCTTGATATGAGTCATATAAAAAACTGTCTTTATTTTTTATTGATGCAGCCATCATAATATCAACTTCATGGGCTGCTTCTTCAAACATGTTAAAAATTTTCAAATATACACCAAGAGCAATATGCAGACTTGGTAAAGAAACCTATGTACATACACAGGTAGGAGTTATAATTAAAATATTATTATTATTGACGTATATTAATTTTATGTTACAAATAGCCATCAGAGAAAACTACTGAAAATAGACAACCTAATTTTACCTGATCTAGAGGTATTTTTAAAATTGTTTCTGTAATAACATTATTGTAATATTTAGCATTTTCCTTTGCGCCACCATTTTTCTTAAATCTTTCAAAATCATTTTGAAGGCTTTCAATCGTACGTAGTTCTATAACAGGTCTTTCTTTTTTGAAAACTTTCATTTCATTTGCTGTTGCATGACAGAACAAACAGCAGTGTTTACCTAAAAATTTGAATTATGTATAGGGTTAATTGAATTATTACAGTCTACTCTGAATACCTCTAATACTCTATATCTTAAGATATCACGAGTAGACAATATACTAATATTATGCTAGTCACAACGTAACACAATATCACAAAAGCTAAAGACTAACTTTATATGTATTGTATAAAGTAATAAAACAGCATACTAGAAGCTCCTGAAATTCCATACAATGCACAAAGAAATTCATAATCACCAAAGATAAAAACTCTCATATTATTGCCCCTAAATATATATATATATATATATATATATATATATATATATATATATATATATATATATATATATATATATATATATATATATATATATATATATATATATATATATATATATATATATATATATATATATATATATATATATATATATATATATATATGTATATATATATATATATATATATATATATATATATATATATATATATATATATATATATATATATGTATATATATATATATATATATATATATATATATATTTATATATATATATATATATATATATATATATATATATATATATATATATATATATATATATATATATATACATAAAGCAATATATTCACAAATTGATATTCAAGAATATGTTGGTTTATGTATAGTTTCCTACTATTGTATCGTTCCAGTATTGATTAATAAAATTTCTCAACATACCTATACTTCATTGTTTGTAAGTCTTCTATTTGTTTTTGAAATCTTGTCATGCCTACTTTAATATTAGCTCTGAGGTCTTTTGATTCAAATATATTAAAAACAATTGTATTTTCTGTACTATTTGGATTTAAGGTATTAACAAACTGATAACACATCTTAAAACTTCCTCCACCATAATCTCCTTCAATTTTAATTTTAATTTCTTTTTGTGGAATAAACTTATGATATACAAGACTGTTACAGCTATTACAAATTTAAATGATAAGTTGAATAATACTACAAAACAGTATTCTATATATATACAAATAAGGTAAGTTTCAAAAATCAGAAATTAGATGCTAAAATTAGATGCTGAGATATAAATTCTTACCTTTCTAATTGTTCAAGATGAGTAAAAATATGATTTGGTAAATCTGCAATATAACCCCAAGGTACCTCATTAATTTCAATCTTTCCTTTTTATTCCTTTTTAAATGTGAAAGGAGCATTTTCAACAATAATGTCGTTTCCCGACCAATTTTCAGCTACAACTCTTTGTGAAGCATTAGATGCAGTGGTTATATCATATTTTTTGAGCCATCTAGTAAAAAAAATTTGTTACAGTAAATGTATATATATTTAATCAAAAGTGCCAAAAAGTTAAAAATGTCATATATTTATACTTACCTAGACATTACTTTAAGTTTTTCCCATGGGATACCCATATCAGTTTTCATAGCTACCATCACATTTGCACTTATTTTAGTGTGATTTAGTTTTGTATTACTTAATATTGACTGTCTCTGATCTGGTTCAAATGATAATAACAATTTACTTGTTTGACTTATACTTGAATCGCATGAATTGCCAGCTACAGTCTCAAAATGTTTCAAAATATTTGTATTACGAAGTCGCAAAGTAGATTCTGCTGCCTGAGCACTGTTAACATAAGCTTTTGGTGTCTGTGTAAAAACGATTGGCTGTTAAGAAAAAATCAAAAACATTAAGTTCTATGACTTAATAACTTTTTTAATGTTTATGCAAAAAAAAGACTTACTCTAGGTCCTCCACTTTTAAATTCTACTGACTTTCCTCCAAATTTAGCCATCTTTTGCTTAATGACATGAAGCGCAGCTTTTTCTACCTCATATGGAATATCACTATTTTCATTTATCTTAAAAACATCATTGACACTAATACTTGCTGCAAACGATTGAGGAACTGATGCCTCTTTAAGACAAATGCCTTTATGACTCTTATATAATTCATACTCTTTCAATAAATTAAATTTACTATTGCAAAAAGAACAAACAATAGTAAGCATCCTTAGAAGAGAATCAGTTTGCTTACTTGTGAACAAATCATCATAGAAGACTTTTTCATTGCATTTTGGACAAAAGGTTTCATCAAGATACTTAAACTTGATTTTTTCCACAATACATAAAAAACAAAATAAATGTTCGCATCTTTTTAATGAAACTGGTGTTTGTGGTATCTTATTACATATACAACAGAGACAAAGCTGCAAGAAAGGGTTTAAGTCATTTTTTAGTTCTAATATGTCAATATCTTCATTTAAATTGTAAATAGGTATAAGGTTTTCTTTAATTGAAGTAAACATAGCAATTGTCCAACATTTTCTATATTTTCCAGGTAACTTCGATTTTTTTAAAAATGAACGTGTAGAAATTGTTGTATTTTTTTCTTTTTCAGCAATGTGACATGTCGCACAGTTTATGCTATGCGGTTGCCACTCATTGAATAAAAGCAGTGCTGTTGTTGTTTTTCTTTTTTTTAAGTTATTGATAGTACAACAACATTTATGGCAGATTTTTTCCGGATGAACAGTTTTTATTTCTGTCAGCTTAACAAGAAATACTTGCTCAATTATGATTTTGATTTTATCAGTTACATTATATTGTCTTATCCCAACCCATTTTGCGCATATTCGGCAAAGGTAGTTTAAACTTTTGTTATGTAACTCCATCTAAAAGCATTACTTAATATTAAAATTAGTCAAAAAATTAAACTAACTATTAATATATAAATATATAGCATTAAAATATTTGTGAAAAACTAATGTTGGTGTCTATTAGTCTATTTTAAACTGTGTCTAGCAACAGCACATACTTACACATATGTGTAAGTACCTTATTATACAGTAAATAATACAGTATAATAATATATTATGTATAGGCATATTTATTATATTGTATCTAACTATACAGTGATATGCAACACTTGTTGGCATTATTTTGAACTATAATTATATATATTATATATATATTTTTTCCAATATTGATCAACATGTAGTAGTATACATCAGATGCTATAACACATCCTTTGTTTACACTGATTTTTTGGTTGGTGCTTTAACTTTTTTTCGATATAAAAATATATTTCTGCTCTTACGACTATCCCTAAATAATAAAGTGTTTTTCTTTCTTTGTAGTTATATAATATGAGTTTTAAAATAAAAAAAATACTTTATTATATCAGGGTATAGTGACCTTTTCCCTGATATAATAAAGTGTGTTTTATTCCTTCTTATGCATAAGAGCAGAAGTATATTTTATATAGAAAAAAAGTTGAAGCAACAACGAAAAAATCACTATATATAGAGGAAATATCGTTTTAAAATTTAAAAAAAAAAATTTTCAATTTCTACGGTTAGAAGTTGAGAAAATCGATTTTAAAAAAATAAACAAATTACTGACTCATACTAAAATAGCATTCGAGGAAACTGAAGGTTTAATACGCCAAGATCATTCTCAGCTTATTTAAATTTTTTAATTATGAAACTAAGTTATCTATCTTATGATTTACTGCAATTATAAGATAAAAATAGTAAGTTGCGATTAACAAACCTACAACAAAAAGATCGTCATATAAAATGTTCGCTGTAGTTAAGGACCGCAGCCATTTTAAAAGTTCAAATTAATTGACGCATGCGTACCTAAACATAGCGCTTTTTCCTAATATCGAAATGACCGTGACAACAATATAAAAAGTACATTTGGCTGGAGCAAGAAGATGGCATAAATTTGCTTTATCACCGAGCCCCAATTGTAACGCAAATTAATATCCGTAATATATAATAATCCGTAAGCAACAGCATTTAAAAAAAGACCATTTTAAAATGTTAAGAAATAAAATTAAAAAAAAAAAAAAGTATTAAAATAATTGAAAAAAAAAAAAAAAGGAATGATTAAAATATGGTAATAAAAATGACAAAAATATTTTGTTTTGGTTATATACTGAACGTGATTCGATATATATATATATATATATATATATATATATATATATATATATATATATATATATATATATATATATATATATATATATATATATATATATATATATATATATATATATATATATATATATGTATATATATATATATATATATATATATATATATATATATATATATATATATTGTATATATTATTTTCTTTCAAAATAATTCAAATTTCAAATAAAATTTCAGTTCCAATATCATAAAATATATCAAGAAAATTGTAGGTAACTTTAAGAGTATATATTTTCAATGAAAGTATGATAAAGACATTGAAACTCCTAATATTGTTAAATGGTCTAGATTTTTAAATTTATGGTGTTAATATAGTTTAACAAATTTTAAAATTTTTAAAAGTGACAGAGAAGATCTGCTATATTAAAATCCGTAGTTACTAAATAACGTCTTAATTTAGATTTGAATTGCGGAAATGTTTTTTCTTTAATATTAACAATATGTTGAAAGTTTTTCCACAAAATTGATCCCCGGTACTGAATAGAATAAGAACATAACTTTAGATTATATTTTTGAGTTACAAAGTTATTTTATGAAAATATGGTGGGGTATTTATGGCTTACTTCTCTAAAATAAGGATAGAATATCGCTGGAGTCAGTCCATGTTTTATTTGATACATGAACTGTATGACGAAGAATATGTTGATCAATACAAACTATGGTTGTGGAAGGGGAGTTCAACTTTCGATTCATATCTATCTCAATTTTTGTTTCATTCTTTGATGTAATATGCTTGTTATACTTTTGAATTTGCTCTTTATTTGCATCTTCAATAATTTGAAATTTGTAGCATGTATCACACAGATCCTTTTTCGGCTTTTAAAATTCAATATTAAATTTTGTATTAAAAACATTGCGGTACATACATGCCTTTGCTGGTGAAATTTTATATTGAGTGCAACATGTTAAATACAAATTATAAAGTTTCTTCAAATTTAATGACCCATCAAAGTATTGTTTGCAGGAAAAGCTTTCCCAGCAAACATGTAAGCGTTGAATCAACGTTGAAAACCAGTCGCAGCGTAGAAAAAGCGTTACAGTCACAAAAACAACGTGGTTTCAACGTTGAATCAACGTCTGTTTTTGTATACTAAATCGAGGTAAATTGAGACGTTGAATAAGCGTTGATATTGTAACGTAATTTAGCCTCTCAAAATAAAACGTTTATTCAACGTGGAATCAACTTACGCAAAAAGCCATTTTAAAAACGTTTCAAAGTATATTCTTTATCAACGTTAAAAACAAACCGCTTTTTAAACGTTACATTTTTAACGTTGAATAAGTGTATAAATTTAAACGTATCTTATCTTCTTAAAAAAATGCGTTAATTAAACGTTGAAAATAAGTACGCAAATAATCACTATAAAAATGTGGTAATTAAAAAACGTTGAAAAAGTGTTACTTTGCCAACTTTAATAAAACGTTGTTTTGACAGTGTTGAGGAAGTAGCACATTGAAAATTATTTTCTCAATAACTAGCCATTACAAAAATAATTTGCCGTAATGGAAAGGCAAGGAAAACTTGATAGAATGCATGCATATGGCATAAAAAATTTTTTAGTAAAGTTATATTTTATAGCCTATTTTATTGCGAATAATTTAAAACTTTTAGATTTTATATCAAAATGTATATAAAGTACATAAATCTCAGGGTAAATTCGATTTATTCAGCTTATTTTTGTCAATGTTTTATTTTGTTTTAAGTTGACGATTTTAATAAAATGCTCAACTTTTTTACATATTTATTTCTAAGTTAAAAATAGTACTTAGTTTTAATACGATTCACATTTATAAAATATTATCAAAATTAATCAAACATAATAAGTCAGACTAAATTAAGTTTCTTAACAGAATAAATTTTTTATTATATATGTATAATTTTATGTATATATGTATAAGAGAGGCTTATTGTGTGTATTATAAATACATGTTTTTTTTTTTAAATTACAAAATATTGTCATGTCTAGTCATTTTTATTGAAAAATATAAAAGTTGGTATAATGGTTTGGAAATTTTATTAAAGAACTATTATCAATATTTAAGAGTTTAATATTTTTTGAGGAATTTAATCTTTATATAGTTTAACATTTATTTATTATTTTATTAAGAGTTTGTATACTAGTTTTATTAAGTATCTAAATACAGACCTATGAAGTCTCTCCCATTTGGCAGGAGTTTTCTGAATTTTAAAGAGAAATTTATCTCCAACCTGCATTTAAAAGTAATTTAAAAACTTTCTTCTCCTTATTAGTAACTTAAAATACAGCAAGCTTCTAACTTTTTAAATTGTTTTCATTTTATAAGTTAAGAAAAATGGTTAAAGATTGGTTAAAATTGCTCAACGCAATCATAAATATATAAAAGTATATCTATACAGAATAAATTTCAGTTCAGTCAGTGACCAAATTTGTACATTTTTAAGTTAGTTACGAGAGTAATAAATCATTAAAAAACTTTTTTAGTCGATAGAGGTATTTTAGTGGACAAATATCCAGTGGTATAAAATTTTTTCCAAGTCTCCCTTGTAAACATTTTCAAAACATGACAGCTATGTTTATACACATAAAAACTATATATTCATTTATACATACATATATATATATATATATATATATATATATATATATATATATATATATATATATATATATATATATATATATATATATATATATATATATATATATATATATATATATATATATATATATATATATGTATGTATGTATGTATGTATGTATGTATGTATGCATATATATATATATATATATATATATATATATATATATATATATATATATATATATATATATATATATATATATATGTAAAGAATGCAAATATAAAGATTTATATATATACATTATTTACATATAAATTAGGTTTGAAGCAGAGGCAGTTGTTTCCATCTTGTTTCAGAAAAAGATGTATGGTTATTTTAGCCTATTTGTTTTAATGCAATGAAAGCTACCTATAATAATTTTCCAATTGTTGATTCCTGCAACAAGCTAAGACTTAAAAGAGTTAAAGTAACTAGGGATCATTA